GTGGGACTGAAGACCCCCCCTGCTTAGGGGGCTGCTCTACAGTGGAGAGGGCCTGCTCACATAGCAGACCCTACATCTGGACATCTGCAGAAGTGCTGCTGGGGGCTGATCAAGATCTCAGCCCCCCCTCTCTCCTCCAACTGGCTGCTGCAGCAAAGACCAAGACCCTCCTGGTCTTGGTGTACCTTGTGCCCTTGGAGACACCAAGGGCCAGGTATCACTCCCTTCTCCCCTCTCCCTCTACTAACCCAATCTCCCTACGTCTCCTCTCTCCTCTTATTCACCCCTTCTCTTTCCCCCACCTTCTACTGCATCTTTCTCTCCTCCTTTTATCTTTCCCACCCCACCTTTCTCCCACCACCCATTCTCTTATTCTGTTTTCTTCATCTCTTCTTTTCCTTCCTTCTTTTCTTCTTCCTTCTTGATCTCTCTCCACCTTTTCCCAACCCTCCTCTCCCCCAACTACCACCACATCATTCCCCCCACCTCCCACTTCATCTTTTTCTCTCCCCGCAACCTATTTCTTTATTTTCTCCCTCACTTTTCATTCCCCTTCCCCCCTACTTCGAAAATTTTTCTGTTTTTCTTCTTTCTACCTCTCTTTTGATTTATCTTTTCTCTTTTTCCAAACATTCGAAATATCTTCTTTCCCACCTTCTTTTCTCATTTTCTGATTTATTTAATTTATTTTTTTATTTATTTTGAAAATTCGATTTTCTCTACGGCAACCCTAAATCTGATTAGTTGTTAGTTTTCTCATCTTCTTCCCCACCCTCTTTTCTTATTTTTTTTATTTTTTTTATTTATTTTTACTTATTCTGAAAATTCTTGGCGGCAACCCTAAATCTGATTAGGTGTTAGCCTTTCTTGCTTTCGGCACACGTTTTGACCCCGTGGGGATAACGAAGTGCTGCCGAAATTTTCTGATTTTTTTTTTTTTACTTAGTCTTTTCGGCACACTTCGACCCCATGGGGGTAACGAAATGCTGCCAAAATTTCTGAAAAATCAGATAACCCATTTCTTCCCACCTCCTCACACATTTATTTACTTATTTATTTATTTATTATTTCTTTATTTATTTTCTGAAATTTCGTTATTTATTTATTTATTTGCGGCATCTCTAGTGTGCATACCTCGGTCTCTACTTTTCCTTTGGCACATTCTTGACCCCGTGGGGGGTAGGGAAATGCTGCCGAAAATTTCAAAAAAATAAATATTGTTTCTCTTCACATCTCTTTACTTATTTCTTTAATTATTTTTATTATTTATTTATTTTTTTATTTATTTTTATTTTCTCCCGAAATCTCGCTGTTTATTTATTTTTCTCTCGTCTCCCCCCCCCCTATGCTTGCTATTTCACTTTCTTGATTAGGTCACTGGTACCCTACCCTAGCCTTAAACCTCAGTTAGGGTTTTCTTAGGGTTTTTGTAGGGTTTAGGATCCCTCAAAACCCCCCTACTTCTCCGTCCTCTTCGGGCACCCTGGACCCGAACCACCCCTCCCCCTTTAACGGCGCCCGTGCTAGCCTTGCTAGCACCGTTCGCCGCTTTCTACTGCGGACTTCCCCCTACGCCCTCCGCTCACGCGGACCTCTTCTGGCCCCCTCCAGTCCGGTCCGTCATCTCCCCATGGCCGACGGTGCGTCACACGCCGCCGACACGGCGATGACCACGGCATCGGGCTCCACACCCGTGCCAGCGGACCAGGGCCATCAACCTCAGGGGGATCTACACACCCTCCTCATCTTCCTCCTTGCGCCCATCCAGACGCAACTCGCGACCCTTGCGCCCATCCAGGCGCAACTCGCGACCCTCGCGCCCTTACAGGCGCAGGTGGCGACCCTTGCCGCCGGCATGCAGCAACTCCAGGACACTGCGTGTCCGTCATCTCCTGGCTCCCAGTCCGGGTCCCCCGTCCTCCGACAGGGTGGCCACGGCGGAGCTTCCTCCTCCGTTGCCCCTGACCCGGCCATCTTGGTGACTGTCCACGCCCCTAGCACGACGGCCGCCACGAGCCAGGCCCCCCCTCAGTCTACACGCGCACCTGCCCAGATCCCGGTCACTACAGCCACGGTACAACAACCCGCTACCATGGTCTCAGCTTTTCTGGGTGCCCCGCTCCTCCCCCCCCTTCGCACGACTGCAGCGCCACCTGGCTCTCCCCCCTCTGGGATGCCCCGCGCCGCTTGTGCGTCCACCCCCTCCACTCTTCCTCCTGCCACCCCTCGATCAACCTACGTTCGAGGTCTCGCGAACGAGATTGCCCAACTCCGGGCCACCCTCGCCCTCTTACGCCTTCAGCCACCCCCACCCTCACAGGTGGCCGCGCCTTTGGGCGCACCCCCTACCTCCTCTACCCTTCCTCCCATGCAGGCTCGCTTTCCTCGCCCTGCACCCTATACAACTCCTTCCTACCTTCTTCCTACTCCCACGGTTGCTGCGACCTCTTCTACCGCAGCACCCTCGCAGCCTGCCGCTATTGCCACCGCCGCTCCCCCATGCGGCCCGGACGCACAGTCAACTGCATCCCTTTCTCCAGGACCTGCGCCGACTTACTCAGCCATGGCACAGGCCTCCGCTCCTCGATCCCCTCGCCGCCAAAATGGTGGCGCACCACTCATCCGCTTGTCAGACATTGCCTTGTATGACGGTACAGGCATACGCGTGTCTCGGTGGCTGCAGTCTGCCACGCGCACACTCCAGTTCATGGACGCCACACCCGAGATGTGGGTGGGTCACCTCTCCACTCGCCTGCGTGGCGGTCCTTTCGAGGCCTGGGAGGATTTCTATGCCTACTCCCTTCGTGAGGGTCGGACTCCGACCTTCGTGGATTTCCAGGCGTTCCTCGAGGATCGCTTCGGAGCCCGATACGACGTGACTGACGCCTTCGAGCGTGTCGTCACTACACACTGGTCCGGCTCTGGTGGCGCTGCCGGCCTGGATCGCCGCACCCAGGTCTTTCAGGATGCCCGCCTCGTTTGCGACGTGGCGTTCCTCCCCGAGGCTGCCCTTATCGATCGTTTCATGGCCAGCCTTCCGCTCGAGTACCGCTCCGAGCTATGGCGGTACGAGTTTACATCGGCCCCACAGGCTTACGAGCCCGTCTTCACCCCGCCTCCTCCTCCCAGCCCCAGCGCACGGGCTACGCCTCCTCCTCCTCTCACGGCACATCCCAGCGCCGTTCCCCTTTCCGTGGTCGCCCCCGCCGTTCCACGCAGCAGGGCCGCCACTTCTCGCGCCGCTTCAGCGCGTTGGAGTATGGTGAGCATGGCGTTGTTGCCCCAGTGTCACCTGAGGGCGACCACAGCGACGACCTCGATCTCTGCGAGGCCGTCCACTATCACTTGGAGGACTCGAACCTCCCTGCAGCTGAGCGCCTTCAGCTCGCGCTCTCCGCCCTCTCTCGGGCACGCAGCCGCCCCGGTCACACTGGCGCATCGCCCCCCGAAGTCCCTCAGGAGGACCTCCCTCATGGCTTCGTCCCTCCTCTCGGTGTCCTTTCCGCTGAGGAGCGCGCAGCTATTTTGGGCCGACGTGGGTGTTTGCGCTGCCGCTTGGACGGTCATACCTCCTCGCGGTGCCCTTACACTACCGCTCTCGACCGCCACTACGCTGATCTTTCTCGTTAGCGTCGTGCTCAATCCCCCCCCGGCGCCTCACGTCCCCACGGCGCCTCCTAGCCACGGTGCAGTGTACACCTGCACCCTCCGCAGTAGTGGGCTTCCCGACATCTCCGTCGCAGTTCGCCCCTCTCGCTACTGGAGTTGAGGTATCGCAGGACTTGACAGAGTATACTCAGCCCTCTGTCGCAGTACCGTCTGCGCCTCCGCAGACCACCGTCTCCCCTCCTTCCCCGCCGCGACTACCGACGTGTCGAGCCATTCGCTCAGCCCGTTGCAGCGAGCAGCTTGCTACTCACGAGGACGTTGTGTCCTCTCTTCTGGACTTGAGCATGCTCCAGGCTCGTCAGGAGCGACTCACCCTCAATGTCGCTGCACTGCGTCGCCTTCTCGCCATCCTCTTTAACCCTGATCGCACCCTCCCGATTATCCCAGTACGACTCGGGACCTCCACGAGGGTGTACTCAGCGCTGTGGGATTCCGGTTCTCAGGGCGACTTCATTCACCCACGCGTGGTGAAGGAAGCCCGCTTACCCACGACAGGGTCTCCGACTCCCATCTCCGTTACCCTAGGGGATGACAAGACCCAACGCTGCTTCGATCAGATGGTCACCGACCTCCCCTTCTTCCTCAATCTTGAGCCGACTGATCGTTCCCCGGCGTCTCGTCGCCACCGCTCCTCTGCATATTTCGATGTAATGGAGACGGGGTACGACTTCATTCTCGACACTCTGTGGTCTCGTCGGTTCCGCAGCACCGAGGCCGATTGGGCGACCAACACTCTCGTTCTCAAAACGAAGTGTGGACAGACGTATCGCGTACCTTTCATAGGTACCACGGCGATACCACGCCCCGATCCTCCTCCCCTGGAGCCGTCAGTGCCCACACCATCCACCTCTATCACTGTCACCTCGCCTCGGCAGTTCGCTCACTTTATTCGACAGGATGACGTCACCTTCTTTATGGTGGACGTGACGGATATCTTACACTATGATCCACCCTGTCCCGACGCCGAGCTCATCCCTCTGGAGCCAGATCCTCCCTCTATCTCCATGGCTCCCATCTCTACTTCCGTCCCTCCGCCGTGCGTCGAGTCCACCCCGTCGTCGGGCGCTGACGCTGACGCTGAGGAACTCGCACGATATACGGCTGACCTGGAGCCCGCAGTCCGTGACCTCATCCGAGAGTACCACGACGTTTTCCCATCGTTGTTCTCGTACGCCGCCATCCCACTGATGCGTGACGTCGAGCACTCCATTCTGCTTGTACCTGACTATCGTGTTCACCACCAGGCACCCTACAAACTCTCGATTCCCAAGGCCACCGAACTGAAGCGTCAGCTTGAGGAGCTCCTGAGACTGGGTTTCACTAAACCCAGCAACTCCCCGTGGGGTGCACCCGTCCTCTTTGCTCGCAAAGCGGATGGAACTCTCCGTCTCTACATCGATTATCGCGGTCTCAACCGCTACACGGTTAAGAACAACTACCCCATGCCTCGTTCCGATGAGCTGTTCGACCGCCTAGAAGGCAACCGCTTCTTTACGAAGATTAATCTTCGTAGCGGTTACCATCAGATCCGCATCGCTGCAGCCAACCAGCCGAAGACAGCGTTCCGATCGCGCTTCGGCCACTACGAGTTTACGGTGATACCATTCGGCCTCACCAATGCACCCGCCACCTTCAAGAGGGCGATGAATGACATCTTCAGGGACATCCTGGAGCAGTACGTTCTCATCTACCTCGACGATATCCTGCTCTACAATCGTACCCTTGAGGAGCACCTTAGACACCTCTACGACGTCCTTGACCGCTTGCGCAGACATGGCTTCTACGCCAAGCTGAGCAAGTGCCGCTTTGCCCAGCACAAAGTGGATTTCTTAAGACACTACGTGCTTGACCAGGGTCTCCATATGGACGACGCGAAGATCACTGCTATTGCGGAGTGGCCCGCCCCCACATCCGCCAAGCAGCTTCGCAGCTTCGTAGGCCTGACCAGCTACTATAGTAAGTTCATCCGGGGATACGCTAGGTATTCCTACG